GCACGTATCTTGGGTTGTTGAAAGTTTGTTGCAGGTCCAACAAACTTTGAGAGATTTCAGGAGAAAGATTCGGCAAAGATCAAACTCGAAGATATCTGAGATGCAACTGACAAGATTCAGATGAAGTCAAAGCTGAAGAGATAGAGTCAAGCTGAAGAGATAAAGATGAGATCTTGAAGATAGACACGAAACCAACAAGAATCAAGGAGAAGTCTATCAAATCAATTCGTGGAGATCTGAGGCTAAGGGAGGAGCCTATATAAAGAAGACACAAGTTGCAGAACGGGGCAGCGAGAAGGAGCATAATTTCTAAGTCTATTTTGTTAAGTGAGTGTGTTCTCATTATCTGGTGAGAACCTTTGGTAAGTTTCCACTGACCACCACTGAATGTACTGCAGAAACCTTCTTCATCAAGTCTTCCCGCTGAGATCAAGTTCAGACGAACATCTGGAACATGCTTAACATCTTTAAGCACAAGTCTAGTACCTAAACTAGTCTCCAAGCAGACATCTCCAATGCCAACGACTTGAGTTAAACCGTTATTACCCATCTTGACGGAACCAAAGTTACCCGGAGTGTAGATAGCAAAGAATTCATGTCATGACATGGCATGAATCTTCCCGCTGAGATCAAGTTCAGACGAACATCTGGAACATGCTTAACATCTTTAAGCACAAGTCTAGTACCTAAACTAGTCTCCAAGCAGACATCTCCAATGCCAACGACTTGAGTTAAACCGTTATTACCCATCTTGACGGAACCAAAGTTACCCGGAGTGTAGATAGCAAAGAATTCATGTCATGACATGGCATGAATGGAAGCTCCACTGTCAATCACCTAACTGGTCTCATGGCACACAAGATTGATCATATCACCATCGACCATGATCAGGAACTCTTGCCTTGCAACTGCAACTCGTTCCTCATTGTCCTCCTGTTTATTTCCTTTCTTGTTGTCATTTTTCAATTTCCAGCAATCCTTCTTGATATGCCCTTTCTTGTGGCAATAGTGTCATTCTACATTTGCAAATTTGTTGGATTTGCTCCCGCTCCGATTCTTCTCTTTTAGATTTCGATTCTGACTCCTCCCCCTCGATTCAGATATCAGAATATCAGAACTCGAGGAAGCTCCTTGAGACTGTCTCTGTGTCTCTTCATTCAGAATATTGTTCTTCGCGTATTCTATCGAGATGACACCGTCTTGAGCTGAGTTCGACAATGAAATCCTGAATGTCTCCCACGAATCCGGAAGTGTGCTAAGAATCCACAAACTCTGAACCTCATCTTCGAAGGTGATACCCATATCAGATAACTGGTTCAACAGACCTTGAAACACGTTCAAGTGATCTGTCACCGGACTTTCTTCGACGTACTTCAAATCAACCAACTTCTTGATGAAGTACAACTTGTGATTCCCAGTGTTTCGAGCGTACAACTGTTCCAGCTTGCTCCACAAAGACCGAGCATTGATCTCATCAACCACATGGTTCAAAACGTTATCATCCACCCACTGTCGTATCAGAGCACAAATTTGTCGATGCAGTAATGTCCATTGCTCATCACTTTTGCCCTCTGGTTTTTTCTCAACGATTAACGGTAGATGACATTCCTTCACCCGTAAAGCATATCCTCCATCTTGTCTTTCCACACGTCCAAACTTCTCTATTTATAGAGGTTCTAACTCCATTCTATTGAACAAAAGTTGCTGCAAAGATTCAAATGAGGCTTCAAAAAAAAATCTTCAAATATGGTGGCTTAATATCAAGGAGATGTCAACCTTTGAAGAACAAGATTTCCTCCTCCAAACTTTGTTCACGCGGGAGAAATTTCAACATGGTTTTAGTCTGCCTTCAAGAGCTGCGCAATTAAGAAGCCGAGAGAGTATTTCCATTGTCATAATAAATAGATAGGGAAAAACCTTTTTTTTGGGCTGAAATAAGGTTTCGTTTCGGCATCTATAGTTTTGCAGGCTTCTGTGTAGAATTATCATTGATCCGATGTTGTACAAATCCGGTTTTTGGACTTGAATATATTATTATAATGACGGAATCCAACTAGGAAAACTCGTCGATATATCTCAAACGTGATATAGATTTATGAATGGATGTGATATTAATGATAATGATCTAACCTTGGATAGTATGATGGTAAAAAAATATATAAAACATATTTTTATCCCATGTTCAAATCGAAATCTGGGGAAGGGAATTTATCTACACTTTTCCGGTTTTTTTAGGGACATATAGTTGGACCAAATGTTCGGTTAATTTTTTCGGTTAAATTTTTGGACTATAAAAAAATATTAATGATAATGATGAAACACTGATATGATACTAATTCTAATACGGTCCAATGCTTAGGTGAGTGTTTGGGCAGAGTGGAGCAACAAATTCGGCAATATAGAAAGCTTATGACCAAACCCCCTCCTTATAGGCAAAAGCTGCATACCCCAAATGTTATTAGAATATATTCAGCAAAAATAAAGTTAGGGGCGGTCCATTTTTATTAATATTCAAGTTGACTAATTATTCGTACATTTTATAACCATCCCTTTTGCTTTTTTTATGGGTGCTGTGCTTTTTGGTATTTGATATGTTTTTTAGACACCGACCCCCTCGGTTCGTGATTATTTGGGGTATCTCTTGTGTAATTTATTTTGTTTTGGATAATACAAAATATCAAACAACGCATAATAATCAATCATAATCGAAATTGAACAAAATCTAAACGGAATTGATTGAATCTAAATTTATTTAATCGAATATAAAATAATCAAAAATGAAAATAAAATATTTTAAATAAAATTTATAAAATATTAAACTAAATTATATTTTTTAAATTGAAAAATGTAAATAAAAAATAGTTGAATCAAATTATAAACAGAATCTGAAATATCATCTAAAATACGCACATAAAAGTATAATATAATTGTATACATATCAAAATAATAAACCGCTTACTAGTTGGATATATTTGTATATTGTACGATCCCGAGTTTGTAATATATATGCAACCAAGCCAACATCATATAATGCTTTTGTTTTCAATTCCAATAAATCAATCAATACCCAAAGAAAAAATAAAATCAAGCAGAAAATTAAAATCTTCAAATCTCATTTAGTTTTATATATGAATTCTGAGAATAATAGTTCCTACATTCCATCATTACAGAGTGGTACTAATTTTCTGTCCGCCTCTACATGACCTTCCTCGAACCAGCCTAAACCATTCAGGAAACCCGGTTTGATCGCTGTACAGACAACCGGACTCGGATGGGCCGACCCGTACCGGATCCGCCACAGCTGCTGCAACCCATCCGACCCGACCCGGCACAGGTCCCGCAACCAACGTCTCCATCGGACCACCGAGAGCAAAGGCACGCGACAAGGCCCGTGCCGTTGCAGGTCGGACAGCGCTGTGACGAACCCCCTAAACCGGGACCGCTCATCGGTTTCTGATCCATAACCGACTTAACCATAGCCGCTCCGGCCAATACGCTTAGACCCGTCGCAAGCTGACTCAGCACTACCGGACCCATGAGAACCGGGTCGGATCCTTTACGGGCTGACGGTAAGAAAGGGTTTTGCTGAATGGAGGAGAGGATGATTTCTTACACTTGGAAGCTTTGTGGTTCGTTTTATATTGGTGGCTACGAATTGTGTATATATAGACACATAGAAACGTGTTTTTTTTTTCCTGCGTGGGACATATAAATTAGGAAAATAGATTAGGTTTCATTTGGATTTATGTCAAATCTAAATAAATAATTCGTACTATTTTTGTGTAAATTGCGTGATCAATGATTTATTGACTACCTTGCTTAAATCTTTTTCGGTTTTATCGATATTTTTATGTATTTTTTTTTTTGCCTTTCGTCGAGACTTTATTTTATTCATTTTTCTTATTATTTTTTACCACGTTATATCTATGATACGTTTCTTTTTTTTTTCGTCAAAGGTTTTATCAACCTTTGACAATTTTTTTTTCTATTTATTTTAATATGAAGTTACAATTTAATGGCTCACTTCGTCGTTTACCTCCATTTGTTTATAAATAATTCCACCCATGCTTATGTGAATAATATTATATAGCTTAATCGACACAAGTGTGTTCATTTCTATTTTAATAATCCTCGTTGTAGACTGTCCATTCCTCTCTAGAGACTATTATTAGTTTCTTTTCACAAGCATTTTATTGGATATCCGAAATACCAAAAACTAGATCTGCCATATGATTTATAATATACGTCACCTCCCCAAATTTGAGATTCAAATTCAGGATGAGATAAATATTTTGTGCATCCATTTCATCGGATGAATTGCTCTAGTTTGGGTAATTCACAAGTATTTTGATTTGTTCCATGCAATATTTTTTTTTAAAAAAAAATGTATATTGCTCTTTTAACCTTCCATGTTACACGAATTGTCGATTATGCGGCTGACTTTTGTAAACTCATTTTCGGATAAATCTAATATACAAAAACCATTAACAAAAAAAAAAATGTATAGTGCATCTCTCCCATTTTTTTCTTATTCCGTAAAGTATGAGTATCTATCATTATTTCTCATTTTCGTAAAATGATATATCTAAGCTTATAAAAATCTCTTTTGAGCCGAATTTTTTTTCTACATCGATATCATTAAAACTTTTTCATTTCACTTTAAGGGGCCGACTGGTTGCACTGCTGCCACCCGCAAACGGAGCGGTTACAGTTTTCGGCGGATGCGGACGATTGAAAAACTGAATGGTTGAATCGCAACCAACCGCAACCGCAACCAAACTTGTGTTTTCTAATCGCAGCTTCCAACTTGCGTTTTGGTAGCGGTTTCCGGCGTTTTGACAAAAAAACTAAAATATTTTTATTAGAAATTATATAAAATATTAATATATATATATTGGTGATGATTTTGTTTAATGTTATGATTTGATATTATTTTTTAGTATTATATTTTAATAAAAAAATACAATAGTATAATTTTTAAGTTTAATAATGATTATTTTTAATAATTTTATAAATAAAATTATTTTTTTACTTAAAAATAAATTAAATTGATAATATTTATATTTTAAATTTATTATTTAATTATTATAAATTTAGTAAATAATTTTTATCAAATGATACGAAAAATTTAATTAAAATTATTATAAAAAATTATTTTTAAATAATATTTTTTTTGACAATTTATATCAAAACGCAACCGCAACCGTAATGAACCATTCACTTCTAACTGCACCCACCCGCAATCGCTACCAACAGCAACTTCTCAACCAGTCAGTACTAATTATTTATAATCGCTATCAAACGTTTTGAAAACGCTGCCACCCGCAACCGCAACCGCTGCGTTACAACCAGTCGAACCCTAAATCGGCTCTTAAAACGTGATGAAATGAAGTAGAATGATTCAAATGATGGTTCGGATTCCGTACCGGGACATTGAATCTAGGGCGCCGTCACAAAGCCAAGTCAAAAGGGCGCTAGTTTTCAGACCTTAATAGTTAGTATGTCGGCACAGCGGTTGAATCGAATTTTACACGTGCGTGTATAGTCGTGAATGACCAAGTCCTCCAAAAGAAGCACGTGTGAAAAAAAAACTATCACCAAAATCAAAATTTGAAGCTTTCTCAGATGGTGTATTTGTCACGAGACTGATCCCCAAGTCCAAAGCCCTATTTTCTATTTTCTTTTTTGAAAAAGTCAATGTTCATTTTGTTTCCCATGCATGAAAGCAGATCCACGTCAAAGAAACCATGCATGCTTTTCGCGTATATACGTAAGTGCATATCCGTACATCATTTGTAAACAAAGATTTATATAATCAGCTTTGTTATTAGTCATTTCACAATAAATTTGTTATTGGTGATTTCATAATTTTGTGGAGATTTGCTCTATAATACATGGTACATAGTGATTCCAGTTTAAGTTGTGATATTTGCATTTATCATAGGATTTATATCAAAACTATCCTTATTTTTCCAACAAAAAAAAATATCCTTATTTTATTATATCTATTTTAAACCATACTCTTTTTAAATTTTTTCTATGTAATCCATATAATCACCATATAAATTTTGAACGGTACGAACAATGTGATCCTTAGACTGATCACAAAAAAAGAATATAAAAAGATATGATCTGAAATCTATGTATAATGACCGGATTCCTACCTATCTCAACTATATATGGAAACCCAACTTTGATAAATAAATATGCACTAGTACTATACAAATATTTTCAATAGGATGAATGTTTCTACGTATACAAAAATCACGGATTCTAGACCTTTCGGGAAAAAAATAATCTTTGGATAGAATCTTTCAACTCAAAAATAATAAAAATAAATGGTCGTAAGATAAATTTTCCGACCACTTTGGTACTTGCAGAGAGAAATCATGAGTCAGGCTGATTTCGTGAACCGAAAATCGGATTACATAGAAACAGAGATCAAGAAAAAAAAAGGGTTTGGATTTCCTGTTCAAGAAACTGATCGATGTGGGATATACATCCGATATATGCTTATCTGAACTACAGAGATCTTGACATGTGAGTTTATAGAATTACCCCAATCCCATACGGTGAAAAAATAATTTTACCGGAGGGAGTTCATGTTCATTAGTCAGTCCTCTCTCTACCTCAAACACATATAGAAAAAACATGTAAAAAAAACAGGAGGAGAAACCCTTGTCAGATCTTTTGATAATACCTGCAACGTTAGTTTAACTTTGATGTCCCATCTGGAGCAGATGACGGTTCTTGAATCCATTGGCTTGTAAGAGAATATGTTGAAGGTCTAGCGAAATTCCGAGGGCAGCCGATGAGAAAATCACTCAGAAAACTTGCCTGATGTTTATATTGATCCTCGAAGTTTTGATGTATTCTAGGAAAGAACTGTCACTTCCATGAGACAAGGCTGATTCAAGTGGGCCGATTTCTGCATTTTCTTCATCTGTGAAGACACGAGGTACGCCTGGAAGCGATAAAGATCGATATCAATGGAGATATTCTACTTACATTAGGTGCTGAAAATGGGCAAATCTCTAGTCTGTGGCAGAAGAAAAAGAAAACGGCAAGACGATGAGAATGAAGCAGCGGTTTACTACCGTGAAAGCATTCTCTAGCTTCTCCAGCCATGAGTACGACATCTCCACTTCTGAGAAACATTGCTTGAGGAGGTTCCTCTCTTGATTTTCCTCCTAAAAGGAAAATTGCTTTACATCCAAGGCTGCACAGAGAATCATTTCCTTTACAATTTGCCTTCAGCTTCCAAACATATGGTAAAAGTTTTAACAGAAGCCAAAAGAAATGATACCTCATGCTTACTATGGGTTTACTCCAATCTCTTTCCATATCATCAAGGTGGCCACCAAGGGTGTCGCCTGGAAAATGTTTTGAAGGTTGCGGGTTCACAAATTGTGCATATATCAACGGACCGAAAAGAAGAGAAAGACAGAAAAGGAGAGAGCTTTCGATTTGGGTTTGCAACAGAGAGAGAGAGAGAGAGAACTACCTAAACCAAAATAGTTTACGATTGCAGCCTCCGGACTGAATTCCTCGCCGACAGGCATTGCAATGGCTGCCAGTCTCTTCACTAATTGGCAGAGTGCATCAGGGATCTTGTTATGAGGGAGTGAAATATCGTAATTCCGCTGAAATAAGGCCAAACACAAAAGAACAAGAACTCATTCAACCTTGAGCACACTTTCAGAATTCAGACCAAGAAATCGAATAAAGATTTATAAATCACCTTGGACCAATCAAACTGCAGACCAAGGGTACTCCATCGAAGCTTCCTTAAAAGAACCGAAGCAGGAACTGTTTTCCATGTTTTTCCTTTTGCTTTTGCAAAATCTTCATCAACGAACTTCCAACTGTGGAATTCTCCATTACTAATACAAGAACCAGAAGCAGGATCATGACTATCAGGTTGATTATCTTCCCGGACTAATACCATGTTTTCTTTAGCTGCATCAAACAAGTTGCTTATTGGCCCATAAATCGCATTGTGGTTGGTTCTATTGGGAGGCTGTGGAAAATTGGCCAAACTCTCTTTGATCCATTTGCATTGCTCCTCCAAACCCAATGCACCAGGGATGAAGTAAAACCCTGAATTCATAATATCATAAGGAGACCCCGAAATCAGACACAGCAAATCAATTTTCCATGGAGGATCAGCTTTCATCAAAACCCTGTAACTTAGATTGTTAAAATCAAAGTTCTACACTTTAGCACAGAAGTGTCAAACCCAAGAAGTGAAATGCCTCCTAATTTGCCATATCGGATTCATGAACTGACAATTTCAGCTACAAAGTCAGGAGATTTCATATACCCGGGTGATTCTCGAGATAGAAAACCTGAGTATCATCAAGCCCACATTTTGTAACCCTAATCCCCTGAGGCAGCACGCCCTTGTTAATGTAATCTTCAAGAGCGGATTTGAAATCTAACACGTCCGATAAATCGACCTGTTTGGGCTGCTTCTTCCTGCGAATTCCAGCGTCTAATTTAAAAAAAAAAAAACAAAAAGAGACCGGGCTTTTGTCTGACAAAGCAAGCGAAACAGATATTGATCGGCTTACTTCTTGGAGAATTTGGAATCCTGTTTGTAGTAGAGCTTGTACTTCTTCTCCGCTCGCCGGAAAGCCGTACGATCCGCCTCATCGGAGACTTTATCCGATCCGTACATATTGGCCGCGCACGCGAAAAAATTCAGGCACGGCCTTTGAGGTTTTCAAGGGTTTTTGTTATGTCCTAATTTATTTGTTTTTTTTTTCCTCTGCCGGCCGCAATCGAACTCCGTTTATAAATCGCGGCGCAGCAGGGAAGAGGCAGAAGAAGCAGGAGGGGGGGGGGAGAGAGAGAGAGAGAGAAACACGCTGCAACAAGGGGCACCGTAATCAGGTGTTCTCCTAATTAATCCAATCTGATTGATGCCCTCCGATTCATTAAGGGTATTATGGTAAATTTAGGTCTCCATTTGTTGACCAATGTTGCCGACTGCCAAGGTCAAAGACTGATGAGTGTAGATGGGGTATTCGATCTGTGTTTTATAATGATTGGATATTCAAATTTTGGACATTAGTAACGTGCAGTTGGAGAACCAATCAAATTTTATGGTTTTGTTTGTTTAAGCTAACCATGAAATAAGATTCAACACAGATGAAAGAAAATGAGTTAAGTCAATGAAGTCTCGGATATCAATAATGAGAGAATGTTTGATCCTGAATTTGGAAGATTAATGACAGAAAATTAGGTTAAACGATAGTGTTTACCCAATTAATTAATCATTCTGAAAAAGGGCATTATAAAAAATAGAGCGAGTTGACGAAGTGTACCAAAACAAAAACGAAATTTGCAAAATATTTCACAAAAAAATAACTTTTGCATACTATATTTTTTTTAAATACCCAAATTACCCTTTACAGCATTTCTCTACGATTATGTGATAATCTGTCTTTTATAAATCGGTAAGTTTTGTTATTTGATCTTTTATTTTCTCCAATATTTTCTCCATCTCCTCTATTTCTTATATAATTTATCTAATCTATTCAAATACTCTTCTCGTTGATTTTTTTCTATGATATTTTGATCATTTTTTTGCATTCATATAAGGTATTTGATGACATGTCTACACCAGAAAACTGCGGCATATGACCTGCGATATGTGAAAAATAACATGCGCTCTACGTTAAATGACCTACGGTCTGGCAGATGACCTGTGATATGTCGCAAATGATCTGCGATCTGCGGCAGGTCACTTGGCCTACGGCAGATCACTTGCGGTATCTGGCAGGTCAACTGCGGCACTTGTGGCACCTGTGACATGCGGCACTTGCGGTAGGTCATCTGCGGTACCAGCGGCATATGCGGTCTGTGGCAGGTCATTTGGCCTGCGGCAGGTCACTTGTGGTATCTGGCAGGTCAACTGCGGCACCTGTGGCACCTGTGACATGCGGCACTTGCGGTAGGTCATCTGCTGTACCAGCGGCACATGCGGTTTGCGGCAGGTCATTTGGCCTACTGCCGGTCACTTGCGGTACCTGACAGATCAACTGCGATACCTGCGATCTGCGGTCTGTCGCACTCTGCGACCTGCGGCTTGTCGCACCTACGACCGGCGGTCTGTCGCACCTGCCACCTGCGATCTGCGGCCTGTGACCGTGATTTCACTACGACCATATAACTACGACTACGACTAGATAATTGCGACCATGATTTGACTACGATTAGATAACTACGTAGACCAGATAACTGCGACTCTGATTTCACTACGACCATATAACTACGACTACAACCAGATAATTATGACAATAATTATACTACGAACATAATACAAATACGACTAGATAATTAACGATAACTACGACCGTTGAACATAATGCAAACGCGACAAAATAATTAACGGTAACTACGACCATGTCCATTTATCTATTCTCTCGATGTTTTTGCTGGTTGGAACAAATCTTCTCGTCTATATCTCTGTTCGATTATGTGATAATCTGTCTTTTAGAAATCAGTGCGTTTTGAGATTTGTCCTTCTATTTTCTCTAAAATTTTCTCTATTTTCTCTATTTCTTACAGTTTATTTCATCTAATATAATATTCTTCTATTTTTTGTGGTATTCATACGATCATTTTATTTTCTGCACACAAGGTGTTTGATGAAATTTCTGAAACAGAAAACAGAGACATGTTCCACTATGTGACCTGCAGCCTACGGCAGGTAACCTGCCGCCCGCGGTAGGTTAACTGCGGCCTGCGACCAGATAACTACGACCGTGATTTCACTAACTACGACCATGATTGTACTACGAACATAATACAAATACGACTAGATAATTAACGATAACTACGACCGTTGAACATAATCCAAACGTGACCAGATAATTAACGGTAACAACGACCATATCCATTTACCTATTCTCTCGATCTTTTTGCTGATTGGACCAAATCTTCTCGTCTATATCTCTCTGCGATTATGTGATAATCTGTCTTTTAGAAATCGGTGTGTTTTGAGATTTGTCCTTTTGTTTCCTCTAATATTTTCTCTATTTTCTCTATTTCTTACAGTTTATCTCATCTAATCAAATATTCTTTTGTTTTTCTATAGTATTCATATGATCATTTTCTTTTCTGCACACAACGTGTTTGATGAAATTTCTGAAACAAAAAACGACGGCAGATTCCAGTATGTGACTTGCAGCCTACGGCAGGTCATTTGCGACGCGCCGGGTGATCTCCAACATGTCACAGGTGACTTGCAACATGCGGCAGGTCACCTACGATATGCAGCAAGTGACCTGCTGACCTGTAGACTTGATGGCCTAATGACCTGCTGACCTGCAAGTGTTTTTTCACGAAACCTACGCAAATATTTTTCTATACTTATATAAGAAAACAAAATCCACATAAGTGTTTTTTTATATATGTGGAGGAAAATGAAATTCATGCAAGTGTTTTTTTATAAATGAAGGAAATCTGCAGGTTATAATAATATAGAAGAGTATGATGGTCATTTTAATTTTAAAAAGTATAGAATACAAAGATTACAATAGTAGAAGTATAGAATGCAAAGACTTTTTTTTGTACATTTATACAAATTTTTCCTAAAAAATATCATCCATATACTATTTTAACTTCAACATATATCTTTCTTTAGTTGTGACTATGTAACCAGAATTACGGTCTGATCACATGGTGATCACATTATTTATAACGTTAAATTTACGTTGATTATATTACTTCCTCATGTTCACCCCTTACATATCAAATTAATCATTTAATAAAACTATTATAAATTTAACGTTATACCTAAAGTGACCAATATGTGACCAAGTTATAATTTTGATCACATAGTCACCGTTAAAGAAGGGCATAGATTGAAATTAAATAATATTTGGAGGGTATTTTTAATATAATGCCTCCTCAAAACTAGTCAACAATGAAACTTTCTGATCAAATATAAAAAAAACAAAAAAAAAAATTTTTAGTATTAAAAAATTCGAATAAAAACTAATCCTATCGAAATCCAAAATTAACGGTACACGCATGCAAATTTCTACTTGCATGTGATTATGCAAGTGCGATACTTTGAATTATTTTTTGACGATATATTTAATCTATTTCTTCAGAAATGGGTTGTACATAGTACAAGATCCAAATCCACATTACTAACTTTCGCTAGGTTAGCCTATATAGGAATTGAGCTTTACAGCAATGTCTACGCAACTAATATCACCAATTTCTCAATACATAGTCCAAGAGTACCATTTCTGAAGCAGGGGATTGCTTCTACTATGATCTGCCTGCTGCAAAGAGAGGAGTGAATTCTGCACCGATCTGTCAATCTGTTGTCGGAGAACCTGAGTAGTCGAAGCCAAGTTTTTGAACACTCGGCAGTTTCGTTCCTTCCAAATTTCGTAAGCCGCATGTTGGATAAGTGTTTTCAATACCATTATTTTTCCCAGCCATCCGCCTGTGGAATTTGCTCTAGCCACTGTCGACATCTCAGAAGCTCAGCCGGAGGGTTGGCTCTAATCTTCGCTACAAGCGGCTTCCAAGTCTCCAAGGTGAATGCACATCGGAAAAATAGATGCTCATGTGTCTCCTCCTCCTCGTTGCACATCACACATGTTGAGCTTTGTGTAATGTTCCAACGAAATAACTTGTCTCGCGTTGGCAACCTCCTCTGCATAACCATCCAGTGAACAAAAGCATACCTTGGGATCGCATATTTGAACCATACTAGATCAGTCCATTCCACCTTTGGAGAAGTCTGCCTCAGTAACTTCCAGGTGCTTGCACTCGAAAATTCATCCTTGTATACATTCTCAGCTATCTTCTACTCGAATCTGTCCTCGCCACGAATTGGTTCAGGAACGTCTTGAATTAGGAGCTGTACATGGAGCTCTTGAATCCTGCTGGATCTAGCGCCAGGTAGTGACCAATATCCCCCCGCTGTAGCTGCACTAACCGTACTATTTATCGGAATCCTGAGGAGTCTAGGTTCGTCCCTCCCAATGTAATCAAGAAGAGGACCTAGAGCGGTCCAATTATCATGCCAGAAGAGAGCAGTACCTCCATTTCCGATCCTGCATCTAATAAACCTCTTTGCTAAGTCCTTCATTTTGATCAGTTTCTTGATATTCCAAGAGTGTCTAGCCATCGGCATAGTACTCCAATAAGAGCCATCTCTCAACACGTTCTTCCTTAGCCAAGCTACCCAAAGTGAGCTCGCATCCTTGAAAAAACTCCATACCATCTTTAGTCGGAAAATTTTATTCAGTTCTTCAAGTGTCTTTACTCCTAGCTCGCCTTCTTGTCTAGGTTTGCATATAATATCTCAGGCTATTCTTGCTCTCCCAGAACTCGTGGCGGAGTTCTTCCATAGGAAGGAGGAACAAAGTGCATCAATTTGCTTAAGTATATATTTCGGGAGTAGAAAGACCTGACTCCAACTATTCACCATTCCATAAACGACTGTACCAGCTGTTAATCTTTTTTCTAACCTTGTCCAGTAGAGGCTCGAAGTCCTGTTAGTAAAGTTACCTTTTCTAACATTTGCATATCTTCCCAGAGAATCCTACGGGATTTCATTATTGTATTATATATATATGTGTTGCGCAATGTGAATAACACACGAGAGAATTCTGTCCAATTACATGGTATCAGAGTAACAACCCTAATTTTTTCCTTCTTCTTTTCCAAATAGCCGCAGCCGCCTCTACGTGTTCACCTCCATGGCCATCATTACTTCCTCATCGGAAAAACCTTTTGGGATCACAAACATCAAATCTCATGTCCCGATCATATTAGATATGGAAGAGATGAACTATGAGCCTTGGCGCGATATTTTTGAGACTC